ATCTCGACATGCCCTTAAATTTTGTTTCTTTCTTACTAGGCCAAAGGAGGCAACCTCCACCAATAATTTGTAGACGAGTCCGGATTACTGCGCATGGTCTAGGCTGCCAACGGCTTCATTTTAGCTTGAAACCCTAAAAATTCTCAAATTTTATTGGTTTTCGAAAAACGCTGAAACTTTTCTATTTCGTGTTCAAAATTTAGACAGTTTGTGCCAGAGTGGCAAAAACCCTAGTACACAATCTTCAGATTTTTAAAAAAATTTTGTCAAATGGCATACTTCACAATATTTCTACTTGCTGGAAGTTCTTACCGTAATCCTACAGTATAAAGAGCGATCGGATTCGCTCAATACTACAAATCTAAGTTGAAGCCTCCTCTATAAAGTGGTACTTAAACGGGGAAAAAGACCCATTGGGAAGAGAGATATTGACGATTGAAAAGTGTGTACTTATTTTTGGACACCATGTATATTAGGCTGGAAACCAAATTTTGCAACTGGTTTCATAACTTCACTTTTTGGGTATGGCGCACTCAAACTTTGGGATTATGTAGAAGGCAATGTGAGCTAAAAGGGAGCTGTCCGTCAGTATCAGCGATTACGCGAGATTTTTAGGAACGTTCTTCACCTCATATGAGAGCTCACGAGATTCTATGACTTCTGCGTGGCAAGTGAAAAAGCTCGTAAACTCTTGAAACCAGCTTTTCTTGAAAGCAGATTAACTCACAATGCTGTCAAAAGCAAAAACCTCACGTGATTGTTTATCTTCGATTACGACGAGAGATCGGAGGTGCTGCAAATATTTCATACTTCAAGATGTAGCTGTAGAAAAAATTTGAGAGTCAAAGAAGCAATGGTGGTTGAATCAACCAAGTGGATCCATAATAGTGTTTAGTTTGAGGCAGTGGCTCGACAATCTTTCACAATTTTTCTTGCTTACTCGGGGTAAATCGACACTAATCTCGAAAATCAACCTTACATACGGAAATGGCGTGAACTAGCCTTTCCGAAGGTCGTTTATACTCAGAATTTACAATCTAAAGGTGATCTCGGTTGAGTCAAAAGTTGAAAGCAAGGGATGGGGTGGCTCGAGAAATTTGAGGGGACGGAAGAAGGAGACATCGTACGCACTGTATTATCTTTTGGTTTCACAAAATAATTTGCTACTATCCGTTTATCAGGGTTCCAAATACTAGGTCCCAAGAGTTCTTGCTCTGCATTTTCGAAAAATTCCGTGAAGAGCTTGATTTGTGCTTCCATGAGGAATCCTCTTCAAAGAAATCCATTGAGACACGAAGAATTTATGTTTTTTTGTTTCCCCGTCTCTCAAATTTCTCGAGCCACCCCATCCCTTGCTTTCAACTTTTGACTAAGCCGAGATCATCTTTAGATTGTAAACTCTGAGTATAAACGACCTTCGGGAAGGCTAGTTCACGCCATTTCCGTTTGTAAGGTTGATTTTCGAGATTAGTGTCGATTTACCCCGAGTAAGCAAAAAAAAAATTGTGAAAGATTGTCGAGCCACTGCCTCAAGCTAGACACTATTATAAATCACTTGATTGATTCAACCACCATTGCTTCTTTGACTCTCAAATTTTTTCTATAGCTACATCTTGAAGTATGAAATATTTGCAGCACCTCCAATCTCTCGTCGTAATCGAAGATAAACAATCACGTGAAGTTTTTGCTTTTGACAGCATTGGGAGTTAATCTGCTTTCAAGAAAAGCTGGTTTCCAGAATTTACGACCTTTTTCATCTGCCACGCAGAAGTCATAGAATCTCGTGAGCTTTCATATGAGGTGAAGAGCGTTCCTAAAAATCTCGCATAATCGCTGATACTGACGGACAGCTGCAAAATTACCATAAGGTATAGGCCTTTTCTACAAGACTCGATGTTGTTGGATGTGCTGGGCTTGATTTGTTAGCTTGCCTATATGATGATGCTGTTTTGCGAAAACTCTCAGATTGTTTCGATGCAATGGCATCTCCAAATTCCAGGTACTTTTCATGAAAATTCGTCTAAGCATTAGATGGACATAAACTTAAATGCACTATTTCTTCTTCTTTTTTCTTGATAGTTAACGTGAAAGACGCCCTTATAGATAAAGACTTTGAGTAATCGTTGATGTGAAGGATAAACTCTAACGTCACCAAGTACTGTCACGCTTTCATCCCAAGGCTTGGTTTTAAAAACTCGTACAACAATGAAGTCGTGTGCATAGTTAGAAAAAAATAGCTGCACTGGGCATTCTGAATCCACCGCATAAATTTATCCTCCAAGATATGATTAGAGCAACCCGCACAAATACGACTGACCAGGGAAGACACTTTGGTCGAAGTGGCCATATGGAAAGTGATGCGTATGCGTAGACAGCCTTCGAATGCTGATCAAAACTGCTTTCGCTATCTGCGGAGCGTTTCTGTAAAAGGAGTTATGAGCCTTTGTTGTCTCCAGAAGCGGCCTTTTCTTTATCAAGGCGCAACAAGGCATTTCCATGTGGGAGCGTGGTGTACTGGTGAGTACCTGCGGTTTCAGGTAAGTGAGCAAGGTTCGAGTCCTGTTGTTGCCAGCGGTTTTATATTTTCCTAAAATTTTTGCTTGCCTCTGAAAAAGCCGCATACAAACAAGTTATCGCAAATCTCGCAATTGAAACAGTTCTTTAGCTACAAAAAGAAGCTGTCCTAAAATACTCCATAAAAGGCATGAAATGGTAATAGCCAAACTCTTGCCCAAACTCTTGCCCAAACTTCTGCCGATTTTACAAGTGCTGGCAAGAATAAAGCACGTGTTGGATTACCAACGCACAAGAATTGAAAACACTGTAATTAAGAGCATTTGCGAGATTTGCGATAAATTGTCCATATACGGCATTTTCAGAGGCAAGCAAAAATCTTAGGAAAATGCAAAACTGCTGGGCGAAAGCAGGACTCCCCTGCTCACTCACCTGTGAACCGCAGGCACTCACCACTACACTACGCCGCCACAACGGGAATGCTTTGCCGAGCCTTGATAAAGGGAAGGCCGCTCTTGGGAAAACAAAGGCTCATAACTCTTTTTATAGAAATGCTCCGCAGATAGCGAAAGCAGTTTCGAGATCAGCAGTCGCCGATCGAGCTAATTATAAATACGCATCATTTTCCATATAGCCACTTCGATCAAAGCGTCTTCCCTGGTCAGACCACCAGGTCAAATTGGAACGCTTAAAACTTCGAAATTTTGGCTACGTTTGACTAATTCGCAAAATTTGATTTGAAACAGAGAGAGAAATAGTGAAATTGAGAATTATGTCCAATCTCTGTTCAGGGAAAATTTTCGCGAAAAGTAGTCCGAATCTAAGCCGTGATTGCATCACAACAATTTCAGAGTTTTCGCAAAACCGCATTATCAGTTGAGCAATATAGTAAATCAAGCCCAGCACTTCTTAAATATCAAACATCACGTTGTAGGAATGTGGTTAGCCTTTTGTGATTTTGAAGCTCGTCAGTCAATATCAGCAATTCAAAGTTTGTAAGGCGTTCTTCACCTCGTTTATCAAGAAAGCTCAGAAGTTTCCAAGACTTTTGCGTGGCATGTATAGAAACTCGCAAACTCAAACCAGCTGTTCGTCGAAGCAGATTGATTAAATGCTTTTGAGAGGGAATGAATCCAGGTCATCTTTACCCTCAAATAATCTTTTAGAGTCGAGGAATGCAAAAAATGCAATGGCGGCTGAAAAAAAGCAAGTGGGTTTACATTAATGTCCAGTTTAGCCTGAGGGCTTTTTTGAAAATTTCTCTTTTTTACAGTTTCAAATCAACGAGATTGGAGGCCGTTGGGGGAATTAATGGTACGCTTTCATGTATACAACGCAGCAAAACTTCTAATAGATTCCTTTAAGAGGCAAATCATGGTGATATTGAGAGTGGCTTTATAACAGTGTTTAGCACTATATGGCTCCTTGAAAATCACGCCCCCTAGAATGTAAACGTGAGGTAAACGTTGGTTAGTAGATTTGTCACAAAACACTGCTATTCTACAGTTCTCCTTGGCCATACCTGACTGGCTACACAACACTGATGCTATCTCAAAATTTGTTCTGCGCCATACTGTGAAGTGGTCGTAGTGTTTTGATGAGTGCTGGAGAATTTTTTCTGCAATTTTACTGAAGACCAAGCTTAGCAAGCCGTAAACCTTCTCGTACCAGATTTGAAGCCACATTTATATTTATGCAGGGTGTCCCAGAAGTATGTATGCATTGTTTGATCATTAGTATCTCTCTTCCCAAGAAGTCCTTTGCCTTGCTTCAGGTACCGTTTTGTAGAGCTGGCTTAAACTTAAATTTGCATCATTGAGCGAATCATCCATCTCTGTTCATTACTGTAGGATTACGGTAGAAACTTGAGACATATGGTATCAAGTGGAAAAAGCTGCCAATTCAATATTTTTCAAAAATTTGTGAAAATTTGTGAAAATAGGATTTTTATGGACGCTGGGTACAATACTCAACTATTCACAAGATTGCGAAGCTTTTTAACAGTGTAACCGCACTTTTTAGGAACATTGAAAAAATGGCCACTACCTCTTACCTGGCATAACTCTTCAATGAAGCATCATAATAAATTGGAAACTTTACACTCAGAATCAGCAACTCTAACTAGTGTAAAAGTCCTGAGGCTGTTTTATTTTCTTTCTGAGGTAAAATATGGCCTTTCATTGCTTAAAACCCTCTTTGAAGTTTCTATCGTAATCCTACAGTATTGAAGAGAGATGAGTGATTCGTTTTATAATGCTATTTAAATTGAAGCCAGCTCTAGAAAACGGTATCCGAAGCAAGGCAAAAGATTTCTTGGGAAGAGAGATATCAATGATCAAACAGTGCATACATACTTTTGAAACGCCCTGTAGAATCGATGAAGAAATTGTTATGATACGACGTCGTGACAGTGACAGCAAGGTGAAAAAAGTTTGGCTTATAAGGATAGTGATATGGCAAGAATACGATGAATCATCAACCAGTATAAAACCCCCTCAAATTAGAATCTTGTATATTCATCAGATGTTTTCGTTTGTGTTCGTTGTTCTCCTTGTGGCTATCATTGCCCACACGCAAGCGCTCGAATGTTACCAAGGTGAGTCTGTTGTATTAAATCGTAAGCCCACTTGAACAAACAAGCTTGCAAGCCGCGTCTTCAAGTCTTAAGATTTTTGCAGTTTCAAAGAAATGAAGACCCTCTATCATTACTTATAATAACGGGCTAAGGATGTTTACGTGGCTTTGTGTGTGTGTGTGTGTGTCCGAGAGTGTGTCTGTTACGAAATTCGTAGAACGTGTTCCAACCAACCTGCTGGGCTCAAATTTTGCACAGCGCATGCTACCCGCAAGTCCAACAAGCAAAATTACAAGCAGATTCATTGAGTGTATTCCTCAGAAACTATGCGTCAACGGATCCAGTTTGCATTAGGGCCGCAAAATTGGGTCCGTAAGTCCACTTTTTGCCGAGTCGTGGGTATTTATGCCAAGTAAATGTGCAAGCCGTGAACTCAGACCCAAAAAAGTGATCAAAAGTCCATCACTTTACGAAACGGCGCCAAAAAGTATTGGTTGCGTAAATGGTCAATTTGCGAAGGTTTTACCAAACCATTTGACGAGATTTTTGCACAAAGATGTAGCTCATGGTGACTGCTATTCTCATTGCAACTGTCAAGACCATGGAAAAATCAAAAACCTCTGTAAATTTGCGTTTTTTCTCCTGCAAAAAGTCTCATCCACTCGAAATGACCGATTTCACATAAAAAAGCTTTCGAAATGAGTAGTTGTTTACATTTTGTTTGTGATAGTCGGCATTGCTAGGTAAGTTTCAGTGCCATCATTATGCGAGAATGAGTAGGGCCTAGATAGTAGAGCCAGTGCGAACCTCTGCGAAGCAGAGGTGACGCAATGGTAACCATATATTGGTACAAGCTCGCACCATATTGTTGAAGGCCGTGCTCCGACAAATTTTGCACTTCCACATTTCTGCATGTTTCAGGGCTTTTTGACTCGTAGAATTTGAATTTGAGCTTTGAACCGGGTTAAAAGACCGTTTTTGGAGCGTTCATCCACTTTCTAAAAGTCAGGTCACGCGAGAATTTCAATGAAAGTTAGGAGATTCTGGCGTGAAGACCCTGTCGCTTGTAGTTTTTGCACTGGATAGCATGCACAATACGGGAGAGGAGGTTATAGGGTCCCGCGTCGAAAGGTAAGCGAAGCTGTCCGAGCGCGCACCGGTCCGGCGCAGGGGAACATCAATCAGCCGGAGTGGAAGTAGAGATTAGTGGGGTAAGAAAACAAACCTCACCATAGCTATTTCCCCCAGGGTGCGAATCTGTCAAGATACTGCCTTTAAGGGCCGCATGCACTAACATGGCCGCGGGGAGGGGATCGCAGCTTTGAAAAAAAGCTTCACATTTCGAAACTCCAGATACCTGGATTTCACGTTGTGTATCTATCCGTAAGTATTCCTACTATCCTTCACTATGAACATGTTGAACAGGAGCGAGAAGTCGTGTGAACCGCATTTTCCAGCTTTTGTATGATCCCTGATGATCCCCGGCGCTTTTCTTTGAAGTCATTTTTCTTTTTCCGAAGTTAACGAAAAACTTCCAAAGTTGTGCAGATTATCTAACCCAACAGTGCTAAGCACGTTGCTGATAAGAACAAATGATGTTCTGAAGTCATGAAATTTTCGATGATCCACAGGTCGAAATTTGGGGTATACTCAAAAACTCGATTTTTCAAAAATTCATTTGTTCTCATCAGCAACATGCTTTGCACCGTTGTGTTAGATGTTCAGTATAACTTTGGAAGGTTTTCGTTAACTTCGGAGAAAGAAAAATGACTTTGAAGAATGGATATTCGTCCCCCAGGGATCATCAGGGGATCCTACAAAAAGCTGGGAAATGCGGCTTGTACAGCTTCTCGCTTCTGCCCAATATGTTCATAGTGAAGGATGGTGGGAGTACTTACGGATAGGTAGACAGCGTGAAATCCAGATATCCGGAGCTTCAGGATATGAAGCTTTCTTCTGAAGCTGCGATCCCCTCCCCAGCGGAAATGTTAGTGCATGCGGCCCTAAGACTGCCTTTTTGAATCCTTCGCAAGTGTACAACGAGTTATCTGCTCTGCCGCAAGTGCAATCACGTCTGCAAGGAGGCGTCTCTCTAAAAAGACGTAAAGAAAATTGGAGATTGAAATGTCAAGTCTAGGAAAATAACAACTGGTCTGCCCTGAAGGAAGATGCATGTCATTAGACGCGCCTTCAAACGGTGATTCCAAATCTGCTTTTCTTTTCAACAAAGCAACTCTCCGAAAGAAAGCATAAGCTTTCGGAAGTCTAAAATTGTCAAGTCTCAAATGGCATGAAAGTAGCGAAAACCTCCAAAAAATCCTGCAAGTGGTTAATCAATTTTGTATCACGTATACTGACTACGAGGAAGGATCACAATCAGTTGTTCGCAGAAAAAGAAGGCAGATTTCGAGTCAGCATTTGTAGACGCGCCTAATGATATATAGTTCTTTTCAATTTATAAGATCTTTTGTACTTTTCCTTTGTAAGTAACGCTTTTCTTTGCTTGAAGACTCAAACAAATCGGACATGGCAGATTTTCCGTGATCCCATACCTGAACTTTGGTGAGGCACTGCCCCTGGTCGTCGACAGATTGTAAGGGCAGTAAGAAAAGGATGTTTTTATGCCAGGCAACAGAACGAACACTGAAGAATGTGGGAGGGGCGTATCGATAAGGCGAAACAAGCTTTGAAACACAACTGTTGAGCATCTTCGTGAGACGTGATCTAACAAGGTTTGGATTTAACCCATTGAGAGAATCATAACGTTGCAAATCGGATCTCTGCTCCTTATTCTACAAGCTTCTACTTGCTATTGCATGTAGTGTACACCCTTATCTCACTTGCTATACTCATGAAAGGAAAACGAAAAGCGGAAAAATTCCACTTCCAGCAGTACTGGGCTCCTCCCATATATGCAACTGTGTACCATCAATGCAATTGTGTACCCTCACAACTTGGCTTTCAAATGCTCCATTTCCTAGGAAATATCAATTCTGAACCAGAAACTCAAAAAAAAGAACACTCTTCTTTTTCTAACTCAATACTATACAATGTTATTCAAAATTTTGCTAGGAACTCCTTTGCCTTTTTTATGTATCATTCTGTAGAGCCAGCTTAAACTTAGATTTGCAGCAGGGAACGGCTTATCTCGCTCCCCATTACTATAGTATTACGAAGAGAACTACCTGCATAAGGCGTCATTGTGCAAAAGCTGCCGGCTTGCGAATTTTCACAAAAAAACTGAAAGGTTTCGAGGGGTTTCATCGACGTCGAGTTTGATACTCAACTTTGTACGGGATTGTAAAACTTTCTCTAGACAGTTCAAAAACATCGAAAAAAACGGCTATTACTGCTTACCTGGCATAACTTCTTGAAGGAACCAGGCAAAACCAGGCTCTTCAGAGTCTCTCCGTAATCCTACAGTGATGAAATGCGGTCGATGAACCCTTTGACATTCAAATCCAAGCTAAAGCCAGCTTTACAAGGTGGTATTTGAAGGTAGGCAAAAGACTTCTGTGGAAAAGAGATATGAGCGATAAACGGTGGGAACATATTTTTGGGATATCCCTGTATTATGTCTCTCTTTCTTTCTCCAATTGCAGATTACAGGACTTGAACACGGTTTTCCTCCACCGTCAAGACGGCTATGCCCACCCGGAACGAGATATTGTTTTACGTATGATTCATTCACCAAACTTACACATAAAGTCCCGTAATCGACGTTGCATATTTAGAAGAACGTCAACAACAGAGTCCAAGCAGATAATCTCAACCCTATACAGCTGTGGTACTTTCGCTGATTGCAAGGTAAGCATTACAATTGTTTGAACGTGTGATTTCAGTCACTTCCTTCCTTGACGTTCAAGAATTTCATTCGCTATTTGTAGGGTTACTCGGTAGAAAATAGAGGCCCAGCTACGTATGTGAATTTTTTTTTCCAGAAAAAAGGCTGCGAAACACGTAAACTTAATCCGCCGAACTATGCTCGCTACGTAAAAATGTGCTGCTGTGCTTCTGATGGTTGCAACAAAAGCTAAACAAAAGGGACACCTACAATAAGTTGTGCCAGTAATCTCCAAATTTTGGGCTTTTTTTGGGCGGAATAAATCTGTTTGCAATGTATTTTTCAAGAACAGACTGACCAATCTATTCAAATCTGGGTGATCGCAAGTTTTTTAGAATCATTTCACAAGTGTATACTTAGAAATGACAAGCTTAGCACTCGCATTTACCTGGTGTGCCAAAATGTATCAAGACTTAACCCTGCGCAAAACAGAAATGTGAGCTATTCTAAAAGAAAGTTGAACCCAGAGTTCATCTTTTAGTAATGGAGTCACTGTGAGCAACTGCAGAGACAGCAGACAAGTGTAAGCCTTCTAAGAACTATAAGATATCACACATCTATGCAACAAAATCATAATCACTTCATTTTCATACTATTACAAATCATAACCTCTTACAATGATGTGTTTTACTGATGTCGCTCGTTAAACTATGCACAAACTCTTGCGGTTATAAACAATTTCGAAATACTGCTGCTCCATTTATGAGATACAGGGTGTTCAAAGATAAGTACGCACTTTTTGTACGTTGATAAATCTCTTCCCATTGAGTCTTTTCCTTAGCTTTAAGTACCCTGTTTTTGGATGTATAAGCCGCACCCTGTTCGCTCTAAGGGCGCACCCAAAAAGACTGCCTGTTACGATGGGGAGCGTTAAGAGAGAGCAATGTGCGAAAAAACGACCGCTTCGCGAGGCACTTGCGTAGCGGCACGCCTGGGTCTGCTCGCGTTACAGCAAAGAGGGTCCGGCTTATACACCTGAAAATAGGGTACCATCTGTCAGGTATAAGCTATTCCCTTACCTGATGTGTAGCTGGTTTACATAGTCTTGATTATTATATTTGTCATAAATACTTGTATACAAAAGGGAGAAAGGGTAGAAGGAAGGCAACCGGCTAGTGCCGGCGGCCGGAGGTCACTGCCAAAGGTTGGCTGTGACCTCCGGCTCAGGCATCAGCCAACCTCCTTCTCGAGCAGCTGTTGTAGCTAGCTGCATCTCGACACATCCAATAGAGGAGGCTTTAAAGGCAGCAGCTAGCCAAAACCGAACATCCCGAAATTTTGACATGGGAGTGTACTTGCACCCCAAACATGAGAAAAGAGCAGGTCCGAGCGCAGAGCACGCTGCCCTTGTCTAGAAAACTGCCCTTAATTCGTTACGCGAACCATTCTAACACGCGCGGACAAGCTTACGATTCTACCTGACCCGTTAAAGAAGGCATGCCGCAATGTTATAACTGCGAGGGTCCCGCAAAGATCTTGCCTTCCTAACCATAATCGTGCTCCACTCGTCCAAATTCAAAGTGGGATGGGAGGCTTTGGGAAATGCTGGTTTTTGCCACTTACGCGCTCTTCAAGGTTGATTTTTGGAATCAGCGCCTCGAATTACCCCAGGCAAGGAAAAAAACTTTCGGAAGACTTGCCGAGCCGCTGCCTTTAACTTATTTGACTCTAGCGGATCACCCAACTCTTCGTTACCCTGGGATTGGTAAGAACTTTGAAGAGGGTTTTGAGCCATTAGTGCTACATATCGTCCCCAAAACAAAAATCTACCATCAACAACCTCTACCATCAAGCTTTTTTTTGAAAAATGCGATTAGACCATTTGAAACTCGTTGAAAACTCATGAATAATTTCTGATGAACTCAGCATGTACGAAAATCACTATGACACAATCTTCCAGATTTTTTCTAAATTTTTTTGAAACGGCCTATTCACGATGACCTTGTATGCTAGAAATTTCTACCGTAATCCTACAGTAAAAAAGGGGATGTAAGATTTGCTCCGTAGTGTGAGCCTAAGATGAAGAATCCTCTACTGTACGGTACTTAAAGCTAAGGAAAACACTTAGTAGTTAATTTTGACTCTGTATACAGTCAGTATTCGCTTAGCACAACTTTCACTGAGAATAAAGACGGTTGAAACTCTTGAACCTGTTGATTTTGTACTCTCCCCCCCCCCCCCCCCGAGAATGGGTCGCGAAATTTTTGGAACTTACCTACATGGGTTATAAAAATGTGCAAATAACTTGTTTATTTTCGTAAATAATAAATAATTTTTTAAATTTTTTAAAAATCAAAATTAGCCTTGCAAAAAATGTCTTTGGGGGAGTGGCTGACACCACGCCCCCTTTTTCTAGATTTTAGGGGTCTTGGGCCCAAAAAATTTCAAGAAGCGCCCCCAGAAATTTTTTCCGCCTCCTCCCCCCCCCCGTCGGACGGAAATCCTGGGATCGCCACTGTTAGATGCGTACTATCTATTTTCCACTGCAGGACTATACGACGTTGTTAAGTAAGTGTGTGGTAAGCTGAACTGGCTGAATCGCCTAGAATTTCGCGACTCATTTGGCAGTGCCATCATGAATGCTGGCCGTTTTCAAAGGGATTACTACGGTGGGCATATACGGAATAATGGAGAAAATCTCAGATCTAGTTAAACTTTTTTTAGCAGAGATCCAATGATATTGGGTAGTATTTCAACTTTACTTCTAAAATTTTTTATGGTCTTGTTAAAAAAACCTCAAATTATTCGGAATTTGTTATATAATTCAAAGGTCCTTTGAAATTCTAACTTCGATTTTCAAATGACCTCTAGACTTTGTTTATTACTTAGAGTCTATTCTCCAAAAATTATGATCAATATTGAGATTACAAATTATAGATATAGATCATTTGAAAAAACTTGGGTACTAACAGAACTTTTGAATTTTATCAAATATAAAGCATGTCAAAATAGGGTGAGAGAGGAGGGGAACGGTTCGTTGGATTACGGCCTATGCCCATTTTTAAGAATCTTTAGGATACTCTATGGCCAGGCATCTCACAGGCAACCTAACGCCTCTCCACTTGTCTTAACATGTGAGATCTTGATTACGAAGATCTATTAAGCCATAGCAGTAGCAACATAACAGTGGCTGCGTAGCCTTGTGGTCTAGTGGTAGGCGCTTCACGCCAAGCAACGGAAGCTCGATTTCCGAACTAGTCGCAGTGTTTTGCGATGAAGCGTGTGGCGACTCCTCAACAACCATAGCGGCTACTACGAGTAGCAGAACGAAACTCCGAGTTTGAGAGACGAAACTCGGAGTTAACTCTGAGTTGACGCGCAGCTCTAAACTCGGAGTTTCGGCCAAATTACTACCGGTCCAGATGAAATAGACTTCAGTTGCAGCATGCATAAAGGTCTTCTAATTTACAGACCAACTGTTACGATATAAGATTTTTTCCATCTGACGACGATATCCAGTAGGCTCAAATTCTTGATTAGCTAGAAGCCAAGCTATTACACTTAAATTAGATTGATGGACTTTACAAGTTATCCTATGATCATTTGCAGAAAGATTGACTTCCGGAAGTATAAAGCCAAAATCTAAGGTCTAAATATTAGGTTGATTCATAATTAATGCACGTTTTCTATACTTCAACTTTCGACCAAGATAATTCTTTTTTCAAGAGACATAGGCCCGTAGTAAACCCCCCATCAGGGCGTCTCCCTCGACGCGGACCGAAGTTGAGGTCATCGCGCCTTAGTCCAGCATGCGTCGACCTATTGATCTGGATGCGGATCGCTTCCTAGACATTGTGATCAAGTGTGTTCTTGAGAAAGGAACCACTCAGTCCGATTTGGTCAAACGGGTAAGTGACTGGAATTAAACGCGCGCGGCTGTGGTTCGACTCCGTCGCGACACATCTTTTGCTGCATCGCGGGCGATCTTTGATAGCGGCCATTATCGCAATCGATGATGACCGCTATCAAGGATTTCGCCTAGCAAACGCACAGATAAAACAAAAATACACTTTGCAACGAAAATTTTATGGAAAAACGAAATGGTTGCGGCGTGAATTCAATGAAATAAATGAATGAGTTTTCGTTTTGGACAGCTTCTCAAAAAAAAAGTCGGTAAAGTTTACAAAAAAAGGAAAGTATTCGCTTTTATTGTTTTCCTCCAAAATCAGCTGTTCATCGATCCTCTCCTTTTCGGGCGCGGTTGTGCAGTTTTGCGCCGATTTTGTCTGCATTTTTTGGCAAAGCTGTGTGTATCGTAAGTTACTCAGGAGCAACTTATGTTAGATGCAGTCACCTCTTGTCTGCGTCTTCTCTTCTACACACTATTTGGATCACTCTAACATCCGTTCACGTTGAGGTGACTTGAACGTTAACTGATGTGGAAGAGTTGACTGCAGCAGGTGGACAGATCGTCAACTATCAGTTGACTTGACCATCTTATAGCATGGCAGGGTGGGCGGTCATCAGTTCACCTCACGTGCGGTGAACTGATGGGTTAAGTTGAGTTCACCTCAACTAATCAAGCTTTACTACGGGCCATATTTGGGCGCAATAAAAACTGCTGTAACCACCAAATCAGTGGCTATAAAACAGATACTTTTGCGTGACTGTATCTAACACAAAAAAAGATTTTCTGGCCCGAAGAGTGTCAACAACTTTTTTCAGAAGCCTTTACTTCGAGAGAGCATAATTTATGTTTAAATGAAGTAGGATCAAGCAGACTTCGCTCATCGTGTAGCCAAGGGTCTCTTGAGCAGTAATGCCAAGCTTGAATTTTGCGGAAAACATGTAGAAGAAAATATCGCAAAAAAGTCGAGAGTACTCATTTTTTCTGGCATCTCGGCGGTTCAAAAATCGATCATTTTTGAAGTTATTTCATTTATCTCCGCTAAAAAGTGGGAAAACCCTAGCGCTTTTCTACCAACAAATGAACTAGGTCTATCCTTGCTAAATAGTGCAAAAGACCTGCAATCGCCTTTTGCTTGAAAGTTTTATATGGCACGAAATGGCCGCAACCATTATTAAAGTGCGCAAATGAATTTCTCGGCTCAGAATTCATGGAAAATTTTGTTCAAAAAGCATCTTGTAGCGCAAAGTTCCCTAATCCTTATGCATATTTTCTATAATCAATTCGGCTATTCCTCATGGAATTAGAGCAAAAAGAGTGGAAAGCAAAATTTTTGAGATTTAGTCTCTTCTATTTGAAGGCTCAGAACATTGGAATGAACGGAGATGTACGAAAGCGAAGGCCCACATAAGAAACTAGAAAAAACGC